TGTCTGTGATATGTGGGGCAGGAGGTGGAGCTGGGAGATAAGGAGTGGAGTGGGGATGGGGTCAAGGGAGCAGGTGGTGGGTTTCAGGGAGAGGATGAGTTTGGTGACAGAGGGTGGGGAAACGGGTACAAAGGTGTGTAGGGGAGGATGGGTAGGAGTCGGAGTAAGGGGGTGGGTGGTGGGTGGATTTGAGGGGAAGTGACCGCGGAGCGGATTCCCTTGATCTTGGATTCAAGGAAATCCAGCATCTCCTCGCAGTGAAGGTTGGAGGAGATGACCTGCGCGGGGTGGCGGGGGGGACGGAGGAGTTGGGAGGAAAGGAGAGGGGAAGGCTGAAGAATAGAGGAAGAGTGTTCCAGAGTCTCAGGGCGTAAATAGCTGAAAGCATGGCCACCGGTGGTGGAACGGAGGGCACGAGGGACAAGCAGGAGGCTTGTCAAGCGGAGGCAGCAGGTAGTTGGTTGGGGAAGTAAGCAGGTCGGGGAGGTAGGGAGGTGCCGGGGCATGACGGGATTTGAACACGAGTGTGAGGATCTGTATCTGTGTGCAGCTTAAGCACTGTCTCTCTCACCCGGAACGCTGAATGACATTGCTCTCAGCCACCAACAGGTAGTGACAGTCTTTGTGTCTCCAGGTTGTTATTTCTTTGTTGATCCAGTTAAAAACATGACTTTAATATCTAAATATGTCTGGTGCCAAAACGTAGATGTAACATGTCTAAATAAAATAATAATTTAGTCACTCAATCCTCGACTGTTTGTGGGACACTGCTGTGAGCAATTTGCCACATTTCATCCACAAAAATACAGTATTTTTGCTTTAGTATATCCTGTGAAGCGCTTTGAGACGTCTCCAGGACTCGCTATATCAAACACAAGGATTATTATTACTATTATGTCTGGAGACGTTAGGGTCTGTTTTGGATTAAACTGTAAACAAAATAACAACATTCCCCGATTATTGAGAATTAATTTCTGGAAGTGACTCGTCCTAATAACCCACTGAATAGGACCCCATTCACTCCATTCTTTGCAACGTAAGGCCTGAACGGAGAGAGAGCGCATTGCAATCCAACAATCTATCTCTGGGATTTCCATGTGTAGGTGGGATACATGGAATTCTGTTTGGTTTGGAGACTCTTAAGCAGGTGATGGGTTTCCACGTGTGTCAGACACCCGACTGACCAAAAAAAAACTCCAAATAAATGGAGGAATAAAGGCTGTGGCCAGACCACATGGCTCTCTGCCCTACTGACCAGCGTTCCGCCCACTGCCCTCTTGACAGGGTAAGCGCTGGGTACTATACAAATGCAAGTTGTTGTAGATTGGGGGTTCAAGTCCTGTTGCTGTGCTCTGGGTGTCAGCTTGTCTCGGTTGCTGGCCTGCTCGGCCCTGAGTTCGAGGATTGTGTGTTCAAGCCCCATGTCAGCGCTCGAGGTCACTGCCTCGGCTGAAACTACAGCGCCATTCTGAGTGGAAGCGTTGACTATGGGGGATTCTGTAACACTACAAGTGGTTGACACACACTGGGAATCGAACCCAGGTCCTGTTGTTTGTGAGGTGAGTGCTCTAACCATTAGTCTACAGGACTCCACCTTTCAGATTGTAGCCCCCCCCCCCCCCCATAAAAACACAATGAGCATTTCACAGACTGTAGGTGAATCATAGAATTTGCTTTTGAGAAATACTCCATGAATCTGTTTCTGGTTATGCAATTATTGCTATCACCAGGTGTGTGGTGTTGGGTCAGATAACTAAAGTTTGGTAGAATGCTTGGTTTTGGGTCACTTATGTTGGATGTTCCCCCACCAGGCTCCGTGACCCTATCGTCCCCATCCTCACCTGGCTCCACAACCCGAGTTCAAAATCCTCGTCGTCACCTTCAAAACCCTCCATGGCCTTGCTCCTACCTACCCGTGACCTGCTGTCTCCATATTGACCTGTTCGCTTCCTCCGTTCCGCAGGCACTAGCCTGGTCCACATCCGCCGCTCGGCCTGCCCCACCATCGGCGGTCAAGCCTTCAGCCTCTCTGCCCCTACGCTTTGGTACTCCATCCCACAGTCCCTTCGCCTTAGCCTCTCCCTGGTCTCCTTCAAGGCTCTTCTCAAGACCTTCCTCTTCGACCGTGTCTTCAGTCACCCTCCTGATAAAATAATCCTTGCATTTGATACAGCGCCTTATCACATCTTTGAGCCATCACAAAGCGCTTCGCAGATTATACTGTAAAGTGAATTGACTGTATATTTTGTGGGCAAAATGTCCCACCACCTTGTTCAAGTGGGTATTAGAGATCCTGCGATACTCTCCGAAGAGTTTTCCCCCCCAATGTCCAGGCCAACAATCCCGCAAACAAATGTCATTCACCTCTTGGGGCACGGGGGGTATTTGTGTGCAATTAGGCAGTTGCATCAAATAAAATCCCCACTCTCGACAATAAATACTGGAATATAATAATCCTTGCACTTGATACAGCACATTCTCTTTGTCAAGACGTCTCAAAGTGCTTCACAGGATATACTGTAAAGTGTAGTGAGTGTATTTTGCGGGCCAAATGCGGCAGCCAATTGCACACAGCAGGGTCCCACAAACAGCCATCGAGTGACCAATTTTATTTTGGGAGATTATTTTGTGTGAATGGGTGTGAGTGCGTCTCCCCAGTCCCCACTGTCTGTCTCTTGCACTTTCTCACTCACGCACTTGTGTTGTCTGAGTGTTCGCTCCCTCCACTCCTGCACTACACTTTCACTCTCACGTGTGCCCGCAAACCTCCCTAGTTACTACTCTCTTTTATGTGCTTACGTGCGTGTGACTCTCCACAGATAGTCACTACTCCTTAGGGTGATGTGTGTTACTGCGTTGGGAGAGTGGTTTATGTGCTGTGTTATGGTGTTCAGTGATATCACCTAATAATAATTTGGTCACTCACTCCACGGCTGTTTGTGGGACGCTGCTGTGTGCGATTGGCTTGCCATGTTTCACCCACAAAATACAGAGTCACTACACTTTACAGCATATTCTGTGAAGCGCTTTCAGACATCTCTAAGATGAGATAAGGCGCTGTATCAAATGGAAGGATTATTATTATTATTATTGGCCAGAACACCGGGTGAGAGAAACAACTCCCTTCTCTTTTTTTTCAAATGGTGCCATGTGATCCTCAATGTTCTCCTGAACAGTCAGATGGGAACTCGGATTATTGTCTCAGAAGGACAACACCCCCAGCACCGCATTGGAGCATCAGTTTAAGATTATGTGATTCTAAGCCCTGATATCGGGGCTTGAACTCACAACCTTCTGACTCAGAGGCGAGAGCGACGACTGACCACTGGGGGGTAGGACAGTGACCGAAAGCGCAGTCGATGAGGAGGGCGTTGGGATGGGCCTTGAAGGAGGCAAGGGGAGGAGTGAGGCCAAGGGACCGTGGGATAGAATTCCAGAGGGTGGGGGCAGAGACCCTGATGGCCCAAATGCTGATGGAGGGGAGAGCCGGGCAGGGGACATGGAGTAGGCCGGATCCTACCTCCTGACAGAAAAGAGAAAGACTCATTCAAAGTACGGCTTTGATCAAAACCTACGCTTTACGGAGAACCACAGACAGCACACAGGCTTTAACCAATTTATGCAAATGCTCCAATGGGATACTTCTCGAGATTAGTGTAAAAATAACATAAAATAATTCATATTGCATAGACCACCACACAGAATAGTTTCCAATTCTATAATAATCCTTGCATTTGATACAGTGCCGTATCATATCTTCAAACACTTCACAGAATATACTGTAAAGTGTAGTGACTGTATTTTGTGGGCAAAACAAGGCAGCCAACAGTGTCCCATAGTCGTGGATTGAAGTGACCAAATTTTTTTTTAATGGATTATTACTCCGGAAAGCGATCCACCAATCGACTAACAACCGGGTTCCTATTCACTGTTGCTAAACAGAGGCGAATGGAGTAAGGAAACTTGCCTAAGGTTTCGCCCGGCTGGGAATCGAACCTGCATCCACTCGCTTGCGAGGCGAGTGCTCTAACCATTGAGCTACAGGACTCCAGGCAATCCTCTCCCCTCCCCGTTCACCACATGTGGAGTCAGGGAGACCTCGTTGGGGGATCTGAATCTACCCATGCGGTGGCTGTACAGTGTGAGATACTCCTGTGGCTCAAGCGCTGCCTAATGGGAGGAGGAGGGTTCTGGCTTGGGGCTACCCTGCAGTGCCCCTCATACAGGGTAGCATCACAGGGCACTTGACAGTGATGGAGCATGATGCCTCTGGTGGGGGTGGGGGGGGGGGGGGAGAGAGAGGTGACCATAGGCACGGTCAAAAAGGTCTTCAGGTGCGGCCTGAAGATGGGGAAGAAGTGGGGTAAGGCGGAGGGACTGAGGAAGAGTGTTCCAGAGTTTTGGGGCGAAGTGGCTGAAAGTGCGGCCAACGATGGTGAGAGGGGTTAGTGAGTGAGCAGCTCTCTCTCTCTCTCGTTTCGCCCACAAAATACAGTCATTAAACTTTACAATATATTCTGTGAAGCACTTTGAGATGTCTCAACAACGTGATAAGGTGCTCCATCAAATGCAAGGATTATTATTAATATTCTTACCCATGTGGTCCTGCCATACAGAAGCATTGCACATCTTCACAAGTCTTACCGTATCATACACTGAATGGCACGCTTCATTTGTTAGACACATTTAATCCCCCCCATTCCCCACCACCACAACAATACGATTTACTACACGACACTCCACATAAACAAGCTACAATACAAATATACAGGATAACAAAAAGATCACTTTCCACTTTAATTAGAAATCTAAGGTCATCATTGACACTGGTTTATGTATAAATATATAATAGCTGCTAGGATCTGCTGGACTCCTCAGTGGACAAAGGATAGCCTGTGAAACATAGCCACTAATACAATTTACCATTGGCTGACTGAGGCCTCATAACAGGATGGGGGGGGGGGGGAAGAGGGATTGGGGAGGGGGGAGAAGAGAGAGACGTCATATCCCCTTATCACAAGTGGATACCAAGAGTCACTGCTAGTTGCCAAGATACCACCATGTCCCCAAAGACCCAACCAACGTCAACACACTCGCTCCATTTCTGGTTCACATTCATGGTTGGGACAATTGCTTCTAGAAATTGTTTCTGAAACCTCGCTGGGTTGGGTGCGGTGTCAGAGCCACGCTAGAGAGGGCCGGGTTTATTCTACCAATATGATCTCCGGTCGCCAGGCAGGATGCGTCAGTGGCCAAGTGAGGGTTGGGTGCTGGATGGAGTAGGGAGGGAGGGAGAGAGAGCGGAAGGGGAGCGGGTTCATTCCCTTTATTTGTTCCCCTTCTCTCCTCCGCACCCCCCAACCCCCTCCACACACATCAGCAAGTCGGGTGAAGCACCTTTGCCTAGAATGAGGATCTCTTTGTGGTGATGAGGTATACTGATTACCTCGCCAATTGCCCCAAGCGATATACATCTGATTGCCAAGCAGGAAATGTTCCCTGTTTCCTCTTGTCCAAAATATAACAGGAATTTGTTGTGCTTGAGATTGCTGCGAAGTGATTCTGAATCAACGTCTTCCAAGAGTGGAAGAAGTGTTCACTTGGGTCTCCCCTCTGGTCTTCAGGAAGGTGAGAAAGAGAGAGAGAGAGAGAGAGAGAGCACTGACTTTGTAACACGAGACGCCCACAGATCAGTCTGTCCCATCCAAGGGCTCAGCTGGAACTTTTGATTGCACCTAAACTGAGCTAATCTTCACCATCGGCGATGCCTTGCTGGTACCAAGCTGGGTGACTGCTCCTCATTTGGGTTGGGTTCGGGCAGAAAGAGAGAAGGGGATCTGAAGGACTGAAACATCCAGTCATTTCGATGGTGGGAGAAAAAGGTTGAATGTGTGTGAAGAGGTGACTTCAGCTACAGAACATCCTTTCAAACAGCATTGCTCAGAGCAACTGATGGGAAGTAACCCACCGCTCAATCTAGCCAATCTATTCAGTTAATGTCCAAATCTGCCTTACTCTTCCTCCCTCTCCCATGATCGATGGATATCCTCGGGTCAGTGACATTGGCTGGGGTGATGCAATGTCTGGCTTATTCCTCAAATTTTTCTTTTGCTTAACCATAATATAAAAGTCCCTCGTGGAGCGAGTGCTGTGGGTGCCTGGCCAGCAGCTAACCCCTGACCAGCTGTGAGAGAGGAGCTGCTCACGTCAGCTTCAACTCCAGTTACCAATGTTGGGACAGACATAAACAGGTACAAAGCCAGCACTGAGCCAGTGTTTCACCCTCAATCTCCTCCCTCTCACCCCCACTCAACCCTCGCTGATGTGTTGGCAACTTGCTGGAAGGCCGCTCGCTGGCTCACACCGGCATGGACAGCTCATTGTACTCATCCAGACCCTCTTGCTCATCGAAGGTGGGTTCAGCATCATGGGCATCAAGCTGCAAAGACACAAACCATTCCCTGAGTTCACTTGGTCTCTGACTTGGAGAAGTTGTAAATACACCAACATTTATAGAACCCCTTTTGCTTTGGGAAGGAGTGCCAAGGCACAGGACAGTTGAGGGTATGTACCCAAGCTGAGGGTTGGATTTGGGAGAGGTATGGTGGGGGGGGGGGGAGAGACTAGGTGAAGGGCTGGGTTATGTTGCATTCTTGGAGGTGAGGTCCCATCTTTGACCGTTTAAGTGGACATTAAAAATCTTGTGGCACTAACTCGAAAAGAGAAGGGAGTTTATCTCTCCCAGTGTCTTGGCCAACAATCCACCGAATAAATCAATAATTTGTTTCATGACTGTTTCTGGGACTTTATTGTGTGCAATTGGGCTGCAGCGTTCACCTGCAAATACATAGTCACTCCATTTCATAGTAAATATCCTTCTGGACTGAAAGGCCCTATATCAAACACAAGGGTTATTATTAATGTACAGATCACGTTTTTTTTGGTCAGCCGAGTGTCTGACACATGCGGAAATCCATCACCTGCTTAAGAGTCTCCAAACCAAGCTGAGAATTCCATGCCTTCCATTTATACATGGAAATCCCAAAGATAGATTGTTGGAATGGAATGCTCTCTCTCTCTCTTTCTCTCTCCCTGGAGGGACACATCCTGTTTACCTAATTCGAGAGAGTATAAAGTACAGGTTGGCAAGAGCCAAGGCTTGGGGGCCCCAGAGTGTGTGTTGGAGTAACTGCAGGAGTTAGAACCACAGTTTAAAACCACATAGTTTGCCTTTGATATCGCTGTCTGACAAACTTTCCCGCTGCTTGTCCAGCTAGGACCATTCACCCCGTTAGTTAGGGCTTTGGCTGCAGGGTTAACAGGAGCTGAGGGGGAGGATTCCCTGCCCCCAGTGACTGGTCGGCCCTTCCAGGTCCTGCTGATGAGCCGGGCCGGGCTGTGCTGTCATCAGCAGTGAGTGCCCTGGACAGTTTACAGTAATATACAGTATATAGGACAGAAAGACCGAGTCAGTCAGAAAGTCAGTGGAAGGAGGGAGTGAGGGAGGGAGGGAGGGACGAAGGACGTGAATACCTGAAGGACACTTACACATTTCATCTCTCGTTCAGTAAAAATCCTGGTCAGTCCAAACAACTTGAGGGGGACGGTGAGAATGAGCACGAAGGGGAAGCCGAGGGAGGCCACGGTGGACATGACGGCCCACAGAATCCCCAGGCAGAAGATCTGGATGGAAGTGAATAAGTGCATTCGCAGTGTTTTCACCTGTGAAATGAAAGTACGTCGTCAGTTACACTCGGACATATGTGTACGTCCATACATACAATGTCCACATGGAAAAATTCCTTAAAAAAAAATAATTTGGTCAATCCATGATTGATAGTGGGAAACTGCTGTGCACAATTGGCTGCCGTGTTTCGCCCACAAATAGTCAATTCACTTTACAGTATATATCCTGTGAAGTGCTTTGACACGTCTCACTGGTGTGATAAGGCGCTATATCAAATGCAAGTATTATTATTAATGAGCTGGACTCCCTGTGACACTCACCTTCCTCACAAAGTTGTGGTCGGGATGGTACTTGGGAGGCATTAGCAGCAGTTTGATCCGCTCAAACAGCTCAATGCCATTGAGAGAGGTGACGCCCATGTATAGGAAGATCCCGAACAGCACAGCCAAGGGGATCTGACGCAGGAGATCTCCGATCACAATGGACAGGCCTGGAAAAGAGCATTGGCAGCATCGTGAGAACAGACACAGGAAGTGCTTCTCTTGCACTTATATATAATCATAACATAATAATCCTTGCAATTGATACAGCGCCTGATCACACCGTTCAGACGTCTCAAAGTGCTTTACAGCATATACTGTAAAGAGAATTGACTGTATATTTTGTGGGCGAAACGCAGCAGCCAATTGCGCACAGCAGCGTCCCACAAACAGCTGTATCATAGAATCGTACAGCGCAAAAAGAGGACCTTCGGCCCATCGAGTCTGTGCGGCTCTTTGAATAGAGCAATTCATGTCAATCCCACTCCCGGCCCTTTCCCCATAACCTGCAAACCTGTCCTCCTCAAATACCCGTCCACCGCGTTTTTAAAAGTAGTTATTGAATCGGCCTCGACCGCCCTTTCAGGCAATGTGTTCCAGATTCGAACAACTCGCTGCGTGAAAACATGTCTTCTCCCCTCCCCTCGGCTTCTTTTAGAGACTATTTTGGATCTGTGACCTCGAGTCACCGACACACCCACCAGTGGGAACAGGTTTTCCCTTTCTAATCTATCAAATCCCCTCATGATTTTGAAGACCTCTATCAGGTCCTCGTAACCTTCTCTGCTCCAATGAGAATAATCCTAACCTCTCCAGCCTTTCCTCATCATCACGGTCCCTCATTCCTGGTACCATCCTCGTAAATCTCCTCTGTACCCTTTCCAATGCCTTAACATCCTTCCTATAGTGCGGTGCCCAGAACTGGGGCAGTATTCTAACTGAGGCCTAACCAGTGTTTATATGGTTAATCATAACCTCCTGACTCTTGTACTCTATGCCCCTATTTATAAAGCCAGTATCCCATATGCCCTTTTTACAGCCTTATCTCCCTGTCCTGCCACCTTCAAGGATTCATTTACCTGAACCCCCAATGTCTCTCTGTTCCTTCACCCCCTTAAGATTGTATTACCAGCCTATATTGCCTCCCCTCATTCTTTCTACCAAAATGCATTACCTCACATTTCTCCACATTGAAACTCATCTGCCATGTGTCGCCCATTGTACCATCTGTCTATGTCTTCCTGCAGTTGATTCCTATCCTTCTCACTGTTTACCCCCTCCCTAACTTTGTGTCGTCCGCAAACTTGGAAATGGTGCTCCCTATACCCAAGTCCAGTTCATTTATGTATATTAAGAAGAGCAGTGGTCCTAATACCGATCCCTGGGGGACACCACTGTACACTTCCCTCCAGTCAGAAAAGCAGCCGTTCACCACAACTCTCTGCTTTCTGTCTCCCAGTGAGTTCTGGATCCTCTGCCACTGTCCCTTTTATACCGTGGGCTTCTATCTTTCTTACAAGTCTTTCATGTGGCACTTTGTCAAACGCCTTTTGAAAGTCCACATAAACTACATCAACTACAATACCTCTATCCACCCTCTCCTCCGATACTGCGGCATTTGGTGCATCCACTTCTTTTGTGAAGACAGATGCAAAGTACTCATTCAGCACATCAGCCACGGCCTCTGCCTCCACAATAAGATTCCCCCCTTGGTCCTTAATTGGCCCCACCCTACCTTTGACTAGCCTTTTTTTCTTGATATGTAAAATATTTTTGAATTCCCTTTAATGTTACCCGATAATCTTTTTTCGTATAAACTTTTTGCCCCTCTTATTTCCTTTTTCAAACCTCATCTGCACTTCCTATATTCTATTTGGTTGTCTTCTGTATCTTGGGTTTGACATTTGTCATATGCCTCCTTTTTCTGCTTCATTCTAGATACAATTTCCTTCGTCACCCAGGGAGGTTTGGATGCCCTACTTTTCTCTTTTGTGGGAATGTATTTGTTCTGTTCCCGAGCTATCTCATCCTTGAAGACTTCCCACTGCTCTTTAGTTGTTTTACCCGCCGATCTTTCTTTCCAGTCCACCTTGGCTCGGTCCCTTTTTAACTCACTGAAATTTGCCCTCTTCCAGTTGAGTATCTTCACCTTAGATGGTTCCTTGTCCCTTTCCATATGCACTCTGAATCTAATGATGTTATGATCACTATTGCCCAGATTCTTTTCACACTGAAACCTACTCCACTTGTCCTACTTCATTTCCCCAGAACAAGATCCAGCACTGCTTCCTTCCTCGTTGAGCTGGAAACGTACTGATCAAGAAAGTTGTCCTGTGTGCATTTTAGGAATATTTCCCCCTCCTTGCCCTTTGGGCTGTTGTTTTGCCAGTCTATGTTGGGATAGCTAAAGTCCCCAATTATCGCGACTCTATTGGCCTTGCATCTGTCTGAGATCTGCTTGCAGATCTGCTCATCTATTTCCTTCCCACTATTTGGTGGTCTATAGTATACGCCTCCCAGTGTAACAGCTCCTTTTTTGTTCCTTAACTCTAACCAGATAGATTCCGTTTGGGAATTTTCTCCCCCTGTAGATTGAGTGACCAATCTTTTCTATTTTAAAGGAATTATTAGCCCCAGAAACGTGATCTGACAATCGACTAACAAGCGGGTTCCTACTTACTGTTTGGTAAACAGAGGCTTGTGGAGTAAGGAAACTTGCCTAAGTTTTCTCCCCGCTCGTGAATCAAACCCAGGTCCTCTTGTTTGCGAGGCGAGCGCGTTAACCACTACACTATGGGACTCCATTTTGATGATAAATCTTCTCTGCATCCTCCAGTCGCGTCTCCCAGCCCTTGCCCCCATCAGCGCATGGCCCCACTCCCACCCACCCACATAGAGAACCCTGCGTGTGAGGTCACACACTGACACACCGGGGGCTTCACATACCCACTAGAATGGCGACGACCAGCCCAGTCACTCGCTGCTCCTTCACCTCCTGGATCTTGGGCTTGTCCCCGGGGGCCACAGACTTGCTCATGACGGTTAGGGCGTTGACGTGGGTGACCGTGCGCACGGTGGCCGCAGCGAGCCACGGCAACCCCAGGATAGCAGACACCCCCCCCGTCATCACGATCAGTAACAGGTCCAGGTGGAAGCCAGAGCCTTTTACCAGCATCCGCTCCTTCTTACTGATTATCAACCTGCCACAGAGATCAGTACATCAGCATAACCCCCTCTCACACACGTGGGGCCAGTGTAGCTCACACAGTGTGGGGCCAGTGTAGCTCACACGGAGTACACAATACTAATAATAATCCCTGTATTGGTTACAGCGCTTTATCACGTGTTCGAGACGTCTCAAATCGCTTCACAGGATATACTGTAAAGTGGAGTGACTGCATATTTTGTGGGCAAAACATAAATCGATGGACATCTACCTGAAGGTGAAGAGATTTGGGTGGATGGTGGAAACACAGAAGGAGCTGAAGGGTTTGGGGTGTACCACAAAGCTTACATAATACAGTCACTACATTGTACAGTAAATCCTTTGAAGTGCTTTTGAGACATCCTCGAGTTACATAAGTGTCTTTGAGACATCTCATGGAGCTTCACAGAATATAGTGTAAAGAGAATTGACTGTATATTTTGTGGGTGAAACTTGGCAGCCAATTCCACACAGCAGTGTCCCACAAACAGTCATGGATTGAGTCACCAATTATTTGGGGGATTTTTTTGAGGGATTATTATACCTGAAAACGCGATTCGCCAATCGAGTAACAACTGAGTTCCTACTTACTGCTGGTAACAGAGGCATGTGGAGCAAGGACATTTGCCTAGGGTTTCACCCTGCCCAGGAATCAAATCCAGGTCCTCTCGCTTGCGAAGCCAGTGCTCTAACCACTACACTACAGGAGTCTACATCACTATAACCCTCTCACATAATGTAACTCCCTCTCCGAGCTGGTGGCAAGAGAGGGTGAAAGGGGGGCGAGAGAGTGAGAGAAGGGGGAGAGTGAGGGGGAGAGAGAGAGAGAGAGTGGGGGGGAGAGGGGGGGTTGAGAGAGAGGGAGGAGAGGGAGGCATGAGAGAGAGGGGGGGGGGGGAGAGAGAGAGGGAGGCAGAGATAGAGAGGAGGGAAAAAGAGAGATGGGGGAGAGAGAGAGAGATGGGGGGGAGAGAGAAAGATGGGGGGAGAGAGAAAGATGGGGGGAGAGAGAAAGAAGCTGGAGGAGGAGGAGGGAATGTGAAGAGCTTACGTAGTGATCATGGTTTCCATGAAGATAAGAATGAAGACCAGAACAGCGGGGATGACACTGGCAAACATCATCCAGATGGGGAAATCGCGGTTCCTCCCCAGGGGGTGGATAAACCAGCCTCGTTTATTAGGTGAGGTGACCGACAGACCGTGAGGAACACTCAGCTTCTGTAAAGTCAAGAGCACGGGGTGAGCTTCCAGGAGGATTGACCCGAACCTAGAGGCTGGCTCCCATTCCCTCCCTTCCAGCAGCCACATTAACACCCCCTCCCTCAGAAGACAGCTCCCCCTCCAGCAGCAAAATCAACACCCCCTCCCCCAGTAGATATACTACCCCTCCCCCAGCAGCCATGCAAACACTCCCCCCTCCCCCCCCCAGCAGACACACTATCCTTTCCCCAGCCGACACGCTGCCCCTCCCCCAAGTCTGTCTCCCCCCCAACCCCCAGACATGCCCCTCCTACTGACCTGTGTGTACACGTCTGTGATGAAATAGTTGATCATTACCATGAGGAAGATAGCTATCGGCACCCCAAAATCTCCAATCACACGACGGACCTACAACACAATCAAAACCCAATGGGTAAATGATCATTTCCCCCTCAGACTCCGCCCCCCCCAATCGCACGGAAAAACAAATAATAATCCTTCCATGGATCCCGAGCTTCAGTTGCAGCTGAGTCAAAGGAGTACTCTTACACAAGATAATAATAATAATCCATGCATTTGATATAGCGCCTTATCACATCATTGCAACGTCTCAAAGCGCTTCACAGAATATACTGTAAAGTGAATTGACTGTATATTTTCTGGGTGAAGCATGACAGCCAATTGCGCACAGTAGCGTCCCACAAATACTCGTGGAATGAGTGACGACATTGTTTTAATTTTTTTTAAAAAAAGGGATTCCCTCCAGAAAGTGATCCAGCAATCGAATAACAACCGGGTTCCTGCTTAATGCTAGGTAAACAGGCATGTGGAGCAAAGAAACATACCTAAGGGTTTGCCCTGCCAGGAATTGAACCCGAATCCTCTCGCTTGTGAGGTGAGAGCTCTAACCAATATGCTACAGGACTCCACAAATTATCTATTCTACTACAACTGACAATGAACTGTGAAGTAGCTTGAGAAGCTTAGACATTATAGGTACAGTATCAAATGATTATTATAATTATCTTAGCTCTAATTTGAAGACCTTCCTCTTCTACTGTACCTTTGGTTACCTTCCCTCTCTCACTGGCTCAGCGTCAAGCTCCACACTGTTAAGTGCTCTGAGTTGCTGCCATGCATGGAGGACGCTGTATAAACGCAAGTTGTTGTAATTTTATTACAACAACGTAGTTATATAACCGAAACGTTGACTCACTTTCCTTTCTCCATGGATGCTGCCTGACCTGCTGAGTATTCCCAGCGTCTGCTTTTATTTTCAGGCTTCCAGGATCTGTAGTACTTTGCAAGGATTATTATTATTACTACTACTATTCAACTTGTGAATTCCCCTCACCCTGAACGCCCCACACTCACCCAGCCAGGAAAGAAGCGGCTGTTTTTGAACTTCCTCAGGAAGAAGGCGATGAAGAAGGTTCCCACCATGAGCATGAGGGACAGCAGTGCTGTGTTAGGTTGACCCGTCACCTTGATGATCTCCACCTCGCTGGAGTTATATGGTGCCAAAGCACTGTTCACCGTCATGTTCTGAGGGTAACAGGCCTGGAGAGGATGGTCTTTGAAAATCTTTAAACACAAGAGTCCGACAGTTAGCACATCTGCACTCACAGAGGGAAACCAGTAAGAGTGATGGAGTCTGGTAGCCTAGTGGTTAGAGCACTCGCCTCGCAAGTGAGAAGTCCCGGGTTCGATTCCCGGCTGGGCGAAATCTTAGGCAAGTTTCCTTACTCCACACACACGCCTCTGTTTATCTAGCAGTAAGTAGAAACCCGGTTGTTAGTCGATTGACGGATTGCTTTCCGGGGGTAACAATCCCTTCAAAAATAAATGTGGTCACTCATGACACAACTGTTTGTGGGACACTGCTGTGCGCAATTGGCTGCCGAATTCTGCTCACAAAATACATAATCAATCTACTTTACATTATATTCTGTGAAGCGCTTTGAGACGTCATAACGATATGAAAAGGTGCTTTACAAAATGTAAGGATTATTATTATTATAGGAAGATCTAAGAGTCAGCGTCAGAGCAAATAATAATTTACATAGCACCTTTTTACGTTAGGAGGGCATCTCAAAGGGGCTTCACACTAATTAGATTATTATTTAGGAGGAACAAGTTTGCAGGGCTATGGGGAGAGAGTGGGAGAATGGGATTGATTTGGATAGCTTTTTTCAAAAAGCCAGCACAGACACAATAGGCTAAATGGCTTCCTTCTGTGCTGTATTATTCTATGATTCTATGATAACTGATTGGGAGCCCAAACCGGGACGGGGGTGGGGGGGGCTGTGGGGGGGCAGACACAGAGGTAGGATAGGGCTAAGGCTGCAGATTTGATTGCAAGGATGAGAACTTTGAATTTAATCCGTTGGGGGTGGGGAGCTAGTGGGGCCAAGCGTCACAGGTTGACAGACCTGCAAAATGGGAGTGGACGTGGGCTACACAGTTCAAGATCGTCTGCAGCTAATGCAGGGAAGAGCCTAGGAGTCCGATGAGCAGGGCAATAGCGTAAAGCATGGACACGATGAAGGTACGAGGTTCCAGCAGCCAACAGAGAAAAGTAGAGGTTGACGTAGGAGATGTTGTGGGGAGTGAGAGAAAGTAGAGCCAGTGAGAGCACGGAGGAAAGGTTTGAAGCACAACTTAGGGCCAAACAAGACACCGAAATGCTGCCCTGGACCTGTGCAGTCAGTGCCTGAGGTGAGGAGGTGATAACAGGAGTCAAGCAGGAGAGGTTTGGGCTTGTTGAGAGAAATGAACCAGGATCTGAACCAGGACAAGCTCAGGTAATCCAATGAAGAAGACTTGGACTTATCTAGTCGTTCCAAGTCTTCTTCAATTGATATCAAATGCAATAAACGCCTTGTAGGATGTGGAGTCCTGTAGCTCAGTGGTTAGAGCACTTGCCTCGCAAGTGAGAGGACCCAGGTTCGATTCCCAGGCTGGGCGAAACCTTGGGCAAATTTCCTTACTCCACACGACTCTGTTTACCAGCAGTAAGTAGGAACCCGGTTGTTAGTCGATTTTTCCTGGGGTAATAATCCCTTCAAAAAATAAATGAAATGATAATAATTTGTTCACTGAAGCCATGACAGCTTGTGGGACGCTGCTGTGTGTAATTGGCTGCTGGCTTTGGTTCCGCTGGAAATCCCAGCTCTGTTTGAGACATGAAAGGACATGGACAACAGCTGGAAAGTGGACTACTAGCACTCAAGTGCTCTGGGATGCTACCCTACGTGAGGGGCGCGATATAAATGCAAGTTGTTGTTGGGACTAATAAGAGGCTGATTTCGAAAAGGCAGTGAGGGGCATGATGGGCGATAAACTTGCCCGCTTTCATGCTGTAAATACAATACAAAATTACATTTGTGTGGCGCCTTTCACGCCGGGAGGACGTCTCAAGGCGCTGTCTATTTCGGGACAATGGAGTCCTTTAGCGCAGTTTTAGTGCGCTCACATCTCAAGCGAGGGCCATGGGTTCGATTCCCAGGGAGAAACCTTAGGCAAGTTTCCTTACTCTGCACACCTCTTGTTTGCCAGCAGTAAATAGGAACCCAGTTATTAGTTGATTGGCAGATCTCTTTCTGGGAGTAATAATCCCTCAAAAAAAATTGTTCCCTCAGCCCATGACTGTTTGTGAGACACTACTGTGCGCAAATGGCTGCCATGTTTCGCCCACAAAATATATATCACAATCAATTCACTTTACAGTATATTCTGTGAACCGCTTTGAGATGTCTCGAAGATGTGTAGCGTATTGGTTAACGCACTCTTCAAATCATAGACATTCTGGCATTGGTGAAGGAAATTGCTTCCCTTCCAGAGGAGAGAGTGTGAAGGGAAGAGTCCTTACCCACACAAGTTTATAGAAGGTCTCATAAATAAAGATGATTGAGATGAGCAGAGCGAAGATCTCCTGGGTGAACCTGGAGATAAACCGGACCAGGAAGGAGCCCTCGAGAGCCACCATGATCACCACGATGGCGATCAGCCAGAATCCAATCCACACCCGCCCAGTCAGGTAGTCCAACTTGTTGGCATCACAGAACTGAGAGGAGAACAGTGTCATTAGTGCAGGTTCCAGGAATGTTACAGCACAGAAACTGCCAGTGCCACCCATCATATCCACCTAATGGCTCTCTCCACATCAGCCACCAAGATGGTCATTGCCCCCTCCCCATGTGGAGTCCTGTAGCTCAGTGGTTAGAGCACTCGCCTTGCAAGCGAGACACCTGGGTTCAATTCCAGGCAGGTCAGGGCGAAACCTTGGGCAAGTGTCCTTACTCCACACACCTAATAATAATCCCTCCAAACAAAACAGTAGTAAATTGGTCATTATCAATCCATGACTGTTTGTGGGACATTGCTGTGCGCAATTGGCTGCCGCGTTTCGCCCACAAATATACGGTCAATTCACTTTACAGTCTATTCTGTGAAGCGCTTTGAGACGTCGAGAAGACGTGAAAAGCGCTATATCAAATGCAAGGATTATTATTATCCTTTTTTTGGAGGGATTATTATCGATCGAAAACTGACTAACTGAGTTCCTATTTACTACTAGGTAAACAGAGGTGTGTGGAGTAAGGAAACTTGTCTAATGTTTCGCCCTGCCCGATAATTGAACCCAGGTCCTCTCGCTTGCGAGGCGAGCGCTCTAACCACTACACTACAGGACTCCACCCCTTTTAATAATCCACCTTTTCAAGTATTTATCTAATTCAGTAAAAATGAGAAAATAACCGGATACATTGAGAAAGAATCGCCCCATTTGTTGCTCCTTCACCAATGAAACAGTTTGTGTGGGCTCTTGTTTTAGTAACAGGTGCCCGCAGGTGGCGCTGCCGAGCTATGTTTCGGCCGCTGGCTCAGTGCCACCCCCTGCAGGTTCCTGGCAGAACCACAGCTCAGCTCAGCCAATCCAGGACCCAAGCGGTCGGTGCCTGTTTTTATGCTGTCAGCCTCTGGGTCCTTTGTTCGCCAATTTCACCCCCTGCCTTCTGCTCCTGACTCATTAAATTACAAAATGAAGGCCAACAGCGAAGCGTTTCAGTGTTCTATCGAATACAGTCAACTTTTTGGATGGCCAACAAAATCATCATATAAATAACAAAACAGCATAGATTTATGCCATAAATCAACAAAATTGGTCACTCTCGATGATGTGAAAGGCACTAGCATTATTATTATTATTACTGAAGCTAATTAGATAAATGGAAGCACACACTCCCTTAGTGTAGTGGTTAGAGCCCTCGCCTCACAAGTGAGAGCGCCCGGGTTTGATTCCCAGTCGGGGAAAAACCTTATGCAAGTTTTCTTACTCCACACACCTCTGTTTACCGAGCAGTAAGTAGCAATCTGGCCGTTAGTGGATTGGCGGATTGCTTTTCAGGGGTAATATTCCACCACCCCCCCCAAAAAAAATTGGTCACTCAATCCACAACTGTTTGTGGGACACTGCTGTGCGCAATCGACTGCCGCATTCACCCACAAAATACAGTCACTACACTTTACAGCATATTCTGTGAAGCGCTTTGAGATGTCTCAACAATGTGATAAGATGCTATATCAAATGCAAAGATTATTATTAAATATTCAATCAAGAAACATTTATTTGGTTGGCCATCTATAGAGGTTGAAACCATTGACATAACCTCTGAACCACTAATCTCAGAGTGCCCCTGGAGAGGAACATAGGAACAGGAGTAGGCCATTCAGCCCCTCAAGCCTCTTATGCCAATTTATCAGATCGTGGCTGATCTGTACTTCAACTCCAATTAACTGGATAAATTAACCTCTCAAGCCTGGAAAGGATAAATCCCTGGAAAAGCCAGACACAACACAACTTATTCTATTCCAGCCCGATTTAACCCCTTGATCATCTCCCTTTGTTGTTCTTACAGACGAGACAGCACCTGATCTGTACCTCAACTCCAAATATCCGCCATTGCCCCATATCCCTTGATACCCTGACCCAACTAAGTATCTACCCACCTCACTCTGGACAATTTGAATGGATCCAGCATCCACATCCTTTTGGGGGAGAGAGTTCCAGATTTCCACTACCCTTTGGGTGAAGAACTGCCTCCTGGTTTCACTCCTAAATGGCCTGGGTCTAATTTTAAGATGATTCCCCACTTGTTCTGGTTTCCCCCACCAGAGGAAATAGGTTCTCTGTAGCTGCCCTAGCAAATCTCTTTATCATTTTAAACACCTCAATCAGATCACCCCTCAACTGTCTAAACTCAAGGGAATTCAGACCAAGTTTATGCAACATGTCATTATAATTTAACTCTTTAAGCCATGGTATCATTCTGATGAATCTGACTGCTTTTACATAGAATTACACAGAATATACAGCGCAGAAACAGGCCGTTCGGCCCAACTGGTCTATACTGATGCTCCACATGAACTCCTGCCCTTCCTCAACTAAGCCTATCAGCAGAAACTTCTATTCCTTTCTCCCTCATGTACCTCTCGAGCTTCCCCTTAAATGCATTTATGCTATTCACCTCAACTCCTCCTTGTGGTAGCAAGTTCCACATTCCCACCACTCTCTGGGTAAAGAAATTTCTTCTGACTTCCCTATTTGATTTATCGGTGACTATTTTATATTGATGTCCCCTGGTTTTGGTCTCACCCAAAGAAGAGTCCAAGCTTGTTTAGCCTTTCCTGATAGGTCTAACCTCGCAGTTCCGGTATCAACCTTGTAAATCTCCTTTGCACCTTCTCCAGTGTCTCGATATCCTTTCTATAATATGGGGATCAGAACTGTACACATCCTTCCTAAAGTGTGGTGTCCAGAATTGGATACAATAGTCCAGCTGAGGTCTAACCAATGACCGATAAAGGTTTAGCAGAACTTCCTCACTTTTGTACTCTATGTCTCTATTTATAAAGCCAAGGATCCCATATGCTTTTTTAACAGCTCTATCAACCTGTCCCGCCATCTTCAAAGACCTGTGTATGTGAAACCCCGGGTCTCTTTGCTCTTGTAGGCCCTTTAAAACTGTACCATTTATTGTATATTGCCTCTCCACATTCTTCCTCCCAAAATGCATCACTTGCATTAAACTTCATCTGCTATTTTACCAGTCTGTCTATGTCCTCCTGCTCTCTGCTACCATCCTCCTGTTTACCACATTGCCAAGTTTAATGCATCTGCAAACGTTAAAATTTTGCTTTTTATATCCAAGTCCAAGTCATTCACATAGTTCAAAAAGAGCAGTGGGTCCAATACTGGCCGCTGGGGGACACCACTGCACACTTCCCTCCAGCCAGAAAAACAACCGTTCATCACCACTCTCTGCTTTCTGACTCCCAGCCAGTTCTGTATCCGCTGCCACTGTGCCTTTTATCCCAAGGGCTTCAATTTTGCTAACTAGTCTATTATGTAGCACCTTGTTTCAACTCTTTCTATTTCAAAATCAGCCAAGTCTGAGGTAAGAAAGTGTCACTTACTGTGAGCTGCAGGAGTTGGGGAGAGGTGTGGGAGTGAAGCCGCCTAGCTTCGGTGTGAGCAGCATGTGACAGAAAAAGAGGAGTGCGTTTACAAAATTGCAGCGCTGACCGATAATAAACCCTCTGCTGTGTACAACTCTCCAACAACAACAGGGCGCTGGACAATCAGGGGATTGGGACCCGAGCTGGGGTCAGGATGGGTGGAGGGCTCCTGAGGCCTGAAGTACATACCTACCTCGTGGTTTGACCCAAAGAAACACAGCATCAACTTTGTGATCTCATCATTTCCTCTGTCCACCTAAGATTTTCCTTTTTCTTTCTTTCCCCGTCCCCTTCTCTGTTTGTCTTTATAAACTGCTCCCTTCCGACATCCCCCAGTTCTGACGAACGGTTATCGACCTTAAATGTTAACTCACTTTCCTCTCTCCATAGATGCTGCCTGACCTGCTGAGTGTTCCCAGTGACTTCTGTTTTTATTACAGTATTAACATTTAAGATTATGTAGAATTTTGGAAAATTTTCAACTCAACTGTGCAAATTTTAATTTTGTAGGTAACACAATATATTTTAATGGGTAAATTTCTCCTGATTATTTATGTATATAACAATTAATGTGTTACTGCATACAATGCCCTGGCTATATAACACACTGTGTCACTGTATTTAATGCTCCTGGCTATGTATTATCTTATTGAAACATATAAGATTCTTAAAGGGCTGATAAAGTAGTCACTGAGGGTCTGTTTCCCCGGTAGGAGAATCTATAACCAGGGGTCACAGTCTGAAAATTAAGGGTCAGCCTTTTAGAACAGAGTTGAGGAAACATTTCTTCACTCAGAGGGCAGTGAATTTATGGAATTCACTCCCTCAGAAGGCTGTAGACGTCAGTCCTTGAACACCTTCAAGGCTGATACTGAGAGAGGTTTAAAAAATAGAGGGATTAGGGGATATGGGGTTAGAGCAGGTAATTAGAGTTAGGTCTGAAGATCAGCCATGATCTTATTGAATGGCGGGGCAGGGCAGGGCTCGAGGGGCCGAATGGCCTACTCCTGCTCCTAATTCTTATGTTCTTATAACACACTGTGTCACTGTTTAATGCTCCTGGCTATATAACACACTGTGTTTAATGCTCCTGGCTATATAACACACTGTGTTTAATGCTCCTGGCTATATAACACACTGTGTTTAATGCTCCTGGCTATATAACACACTGTGTCACTGTTTAATGCCCTGGCTATATAACACACTGTGTTTAATGCTCCTGGCTATATAACACACTGTGTTTAATGCTCCTGGCTATATAACACACTATGTTTAATGCCCTGGCTATATAACACACTGTGTTTAATGCTCCTGGCTATATAACACACTGTGTTTAATGCTCCTGGCTATATAACACACTGTGTTTAATGCTCCTGGCTATATAACACACTATGTTTAATGCTCCTGGCTATATAACACACTGTGTTTAATGCTCCTGGCTATATAACACACTGTGTTTAATGCTCCTGGCTATATAACACACTATGTTTAATGCTCCTGGCTATATAACACACTGTGTTTAATGCTCCTGGCTATATAACACACTGTGTTTAATGCTCCTGGCTATATAACACACTATGTTTAATGCTCCTGGCTATATAACACACTATGTTTAATGCTCCTGGCTGTATAACACACTGTGTCACTGTTTAATGCCCTGGCTATATAACACACTGTGTTTAATGCTCCTGGCTATATAACACACTGTGTTTAATGCTCCTGGCTGTATAACACACTGTGTCACTGTTTAATGCCCTGGCTATATAACACACTATGTTTAATGCTCCTGGCTATATAACACACTGTGTTTAATGCTCCTGGCTATATAACACACTGTGTTTAATGCTCCTGGCTATATAACACACTGTGTTTAATGCCCTGGCTATATAACACACTGTCATGGTGTTTAATACTCCTTGATGTGACACACTGTGTCAGTGTATAATGCTCCTGGCTATATAACACACTGAGTTACTGGGTATCAAGCTCTTGTATATGATATATTGCGTGTTACAGGCTATCTCTCTCCTGTATATGACATTGTGTAATGGGGATATCCCCTGTAGCCAGGGCATTATACACAGTGTTATATAGCCAGGAGCATTGTATGCAGTAACACATCATGTGTTATATACATAAATAAACAAGAGAAATTTATCCATTAACACATGCTGTGTTATTTACACAGGAGTGTTATGGAAACTCTGTGTCCCATCTCATCCATATTCATTCCAGAAATTGCCTCACTGCTTGTGGGGAATGTTGCTGCTTAAGACCACAAGACTTAGGAGCAGGAGTAGGCCTTTCGGCCCCTCGAGCCTGTGCCCCGCCATTTAATAAGATCATGGCTGATCTTCTAACCTAATTCCATTACTCGCCCTATCCCCATATTTCTTAATCCCTCTATCCTGTAGAAATCAACTGCTGCATTTTCTCTTCATAAAAGACAGCCTGGAGACATTTTCTCTCTGTGAAACAGTACTGTTAGTGAGTCAGTGTAAGCTGTGTGAGAAGGGAGGGCGTGTTAGTTTATGTGGTGTGAGAAGGGAGGGCGTGTTAGTTTATGTGGTGTAAGAAGGGAGGGCGTGTTAGTTTAAGTGGTGTGAGAAGGGAGGGTGTGCGTTAGTGTCGGCGGTGTGAAAATGGAGGGTGTGTTAGTGTGTTAGGGTAAGTGATGTGAGAAGCGAGGGCATGTGTTTGTGTGTTACTGTAGAGTATGAGAAGGGAGGATATGTGTTAGTGAGTTAATGTAAGGGGTCTGAGAAGGGAGGGCGAGTGTTAGTGTAAGAAGGGACGGCGTGTGTTAGTGTAAGTGTGAGCAGCACACACACCTTGTAGAAAGCCTCTTCGAAGACCAGCAATGGCCCTGAGAAGCCCACGATGAGCAGTGGCTGAGCTGCCAGCAACGTGAAGATGATCATCTGTACAGAGGTCGAGAGGATCAGCTCAGAGACTCCGATCAGCCCCATGGTCTTCTCTCCTAAAATATTCCCAAACGAAAACCCAAGTCAATAATAATAATCTTTGCATTTGATATAACGCCTTATCACATCGTTGAGACCCCTCAAAGCGCTTCACAGCATATACTGTAAAGTGAATTAACTGTATATTTTGTGGGCGAAATACAGCAGCCAATTACTCACAGCAGCGTCCCACAAACAGACGTGGATTGAGTGACCAAATCAAAGTTTTTTTTTTTGAAGGGATTACTACAGGGAGTCCTGTAGCTCAGTGGTTAGAGCACTCGCTTTGCAAGCGAGAGACCTGGGTTCAATTCCAGGCAGAGGGCGAAACCTTGGGCAAGTTTCCTTACTCCACACAGAGCCTAATAATAATCCCTCCAAAACCATAAACAATAATAAATTGGTCATTTTCAATCTACGACTGTTTGTGGGACATTGCTGTGCGCAATTGGCTGCCGCGTTCGCCCACAAATATACAGTCAATTCACTTTACAGTATATTCTGTGAAGCGCTTTGGGACGTCCTCCCGACGTGAAAAGCGCTATATCAAATGCAAGGATTATTATTATTATTATTATTATTATCCCCGGAAAGTGACCCGCCAATCAGGGTCCTATTTACTGCTGGGTAAACAGAGGCATGTTGAGTAAGGAAACTTGTCTAAGGTTTTGTCCTGCCTGAGAATTGAACCCAGCACGATATCAAATGCAAGGATTATTATTTTCGACCACACCTTCAGTCACCCTCTTACCCTCGACACGTCTCAAAGCGCTTCACAGAATATACTGTAAAGTGAATTGACTGTATTTTTGTGGGCGAAACGTGACAGTCAATTGCGCACAGCAGCGTCCCACAAACAGCCGTGAACAGAGTGTCCACATTATTATTATTTTTTTAAGCAGTTATTACCCCTGAAAAACCAATGCGCAAATCGTCTAACAACTGGGTTCCTACTTATTGCTATAAACTGAGGCATCTGGAGTAAGGAAACTTGTCTAACGTTTTACCCTGCCTGGGAATCAAACCCTGGTCCTTGCTTGCGAGTGCTCTAACTAAAACACTACAGGACTCCACTAACCTCTTTCAAGTAAGCTCTCTTCCCACTCCTCACCAATACAGGATGGGGGGGGCGTCTCATCTGTAACTGGATCATCCAATTTCGTCCCGTCTGGGAATCAAACCCAGACCATCTCGCTTGCGAGGTGAGTGCTCTAACCACTGAACTGCAGGAGTCCATATTTGTATTGAATTGTATTAAGGCTCCGGGGCACTACCCTGCATGAAGAATTCTATCTACATAAAAACAGAAGTTGCTGGGAACACTCAGCAGGTCAGGCAGCATCTATGGAGAAAGGAAAGTGAGTCAATGTTTCGGGTCCACGACCCTTCGTCAGAACTGACTCACTTTCTTCTCTCCATAGATGCTGCCTGACCTGCTGAGTGTTCCCAGCGACTTCTGCTTTTGTTTTCACATTTCCAGCATCTGCAGTATTTTGTGTTTTCTGCTATCTATATAAATGACAGTTGTTGTGTGCTCTTACCCAGCAGACCACCGAAGGTAATAGCAGGGGATAGAGCAGCAAAGTAAATGAAGATGATAGCAGCCATGCACTGGGGATTCAGGGCGTCCTTGAAGTCACTCAGATACAGAGGGTACCTCCTCCGCACATCCCGCACCAAGCCCCCAAACACCTTGCCCGTCCGTCTCAGTGGGTCGTTGTCCTCCTCAGTTGCCTTTCTCCTCTTTAGCAGAGCTGTGAGGAGAGGGAGCCATGTCACTAAGCATCCATTGAGAGGTTCCACCAATATATACATACACTGACTGACTGATTCCCTTCCTCTCCTAACCCCCAACCCACCAGCGGTCACACCACACGTGGGCCTGCCACGCTCCACTCAATCTGGACTTATTCATGGCAGAAAAATACACCCCCGTTGGAAATGCTAACCTTGCTCTCTATCTATAACATAACCACATTTTACATCAAAACGTCTCTAAGCACTGTTTATTGTGGCCATTATATTGTACACAGCAGGTGATTCACAATCAGCTCCTAGTTGAATGAACATTTTTATCTGGAGGACTGTTGGCCAGGACACAGGACACTGTATCCTTTGTGTTAGGTTTCAGAAGTGCGCACTGTCCTCGTTCTCACGTGGGAAACCCTCTACGGACTTTACCACTTACCTCTGCAACCTCTTTCAACCCTACCAACCTGGCCACTCCCTTTGCTAAGCAAATGCTGGCCTGCTTTATGTCCTCCTGCCTTATTAACCTCAACATTGGCAGGTGGGCTTGCAGCGATTCTGTCTTGCTTTCTGGAACTCCATCCCGGAGTCACTCTGACTCACTTCCCCCCTCAGTAAACGTACCCTCTGACATGCTTTACCCCTCCCCACCCCCCCATGCAGGTGTCCAGCTGGCGCTGTAAAGCATTTTGTGATGTCCTCCCAACATGAAAGGCATTATAATAATAATAATCCTTGCATTTGATATAGAAACAGGAGTAGGCCATTCAGCCCCTCGAGCCTGTTCCGCAATTCTATTAGATCATGGCTGATCTGTACCTCAAGTCCAATTACCCGCATTTGCCCCATATCCCTTAATACCCTGACCTGACAAATATTTATCCACCTCAGTCTTGACGATGTGAATGGATCCAGCATCCAAAGCCATTTGGGGCAAGAGAGTCCCAGATTTCCACTACCCTTTGGTTTCACTCTTAAATGGCCTGGCTCTAATTTTAAGATGATGTCCCTTTATTCTGGATTCCCTCACCAGAAGTAATAGTTTCGCTGTATCTACCCTATTGAATAATACAGCGACTTATCAAGTTATTGAGGGGCTTCACAAAATATATTGTAAAGTGAGTTGACTGTGTATTGTGTGGGGGAAATGCAGCAGACAATTGCGCACAGCAGCGTCCCACAAACAGTGGACTGAATGACCAGTATTTTTTTTTGAGAGATTATTACCCCTGGAAAGCAATCTGCCAATCGACTCCCAGCAGGGTTCCTGCTTACTACTTGGTAAACAAAGGGATGTGGATTAAGAAAACTTGCTTAACTTTTCACCCTGCCTGGGAATCGAACCCAGGTCCTCTCACTTGCAAGACGAGTGCTCTAACCACTAAGCTATAGGACTTGCTCTGAGGCCTGGGTCACAGGGAGCCAGGCGTGCGGGCGGCACAGAGTACCTCGCTCATCCAGGTGGGATAACAGCTGATCCTCCCGCGCTTGCCTTTTCTTTAGCATCTTCCGCTGGAAGTTAGCTATGGACTTGAGAAGCTCCTCGCCCGGCACGTCCAGCGGTGGGATCACCACGCTGCTGTCCAGGAACTCGTTGATGGCATTTAGCAGGTCCTCCCGACCGTCAGCCTGGTACGCAGCTTTGTGAAAGTTCTGTGGGACAAACAGATGGGAGCGAGTGAAGCCCGGCTTAGTGGGTAGCAATCTCACTACTGATCACTCAGAAGGTTGTGAGTTCAAGCCTCACCTCACCGGGGAGTTGACACTGTAGCTGATACTCAGGGAGGGAATTGATTGTGTATTTTGTGGGTGAAACGCGGCAGCCAATTGCGCACAGAAGTGTCCCACAAACAGTTGTGGATTGAGTGAACAAATTATTTTTTATTTTTTTTACCCATGGAAAGCGATCCGCCAATCAACTAACAACCAGGTTCCTACTTACTGCTAGGTAAACAGAGGCGTGTGTGTGGAGCAAGGAAACTTACCGAAGGTTTCGCAATAGAGATGTGGCGTCTGGAGGGAATAGGGATGTGGAGCTGGGTGGGAGTGCAGGTAATGGGGATAATGTATTAGCTCGATGACTAATACAGATGGTCACATGATCCTTTGCATGGCTTGTATTCCCCAGTAGAGAGAAGTGTACCAAACCTTACCTTGTCTGACATGAGGGTAGAGATGGAGCGGCCGATCTCATGGTAATCCATGGTGGTGGTGGAGGGGCCCAGGAGGATGAAGAGGAAGCGGACAGGAACAGGCACTTCCAGTACCGACTCCAACTCCACCGCTGCCTGGAGACGCACAAACGCCATGGTGGGCTGCTCCAGGAACTCCACACAGCCTGCCACAAACAGGAGACCCGGTCACAACAACAACCTGCTTACCACCTAACCTACAATCTGCTGCCTCCACTCAACTGGCTCTGGCCTCCTGCATGTCCCTCCACCATTGGCGGCCATGATTTCAGTCAATACGCCCAGAACCTTTGGAACATTCTTCCTCTACCCCTCCGCCGTGAACCTTCCTTCCCCATCTTCAGGTTGCGCCTGAATACCTTCCTTTTCAACCGTGCCTATGGTCACTTCCACCATGGGGTTATGCTCCGCCACTGTTGAGCACTCTGGGACACTACCCTGCGTGAGGGGCGCTGTGTAAATGCAAGTTGTTGTTCTTCTTGTACACATGGAAATCCCAGACATAGATTGCTTGAATGGAATGCGCACTCTCTCCCTGGAGATCCTGTTTACCTAATTCCGGAGAGTATTAGGCGGAGGTTGGTAAATGCTGGGGCTTAGTGACCCCAGAGTGTGTGTTGGGATAACTGCTAGAGTCTAACCAGCTAAACCCACACAGCTTGCCATTGAGAGCATTATCTGGCTTTTCCCCTGCTTGTCCGGCTAGGACCATCCTACCTGTTAGGGCTTGCAGGGTTAACAGGAACTGAGTGGGATTGCAATGGTAAGTGGGCTTGAGGACCTGTTCCTTACCTACGAGGACAACACTGGCCTCTGCGTTGCCAGGGATCTTCTCCAGCAGTTTCAACTCGTGTTTGGACCGGGATCTGTGCAATTCTGAGGAGAGTGGCACTTCCTTCTGTAAGATGGAGAACGAGTGAAATCAGTCACAAACCAGCACTGTCAGACAGCAGGAGGCACAATGCTGGGAAAATAAGGGGGAATAACATCCTTTCTAATGGCTTGTAAATTCCTTTGCTTGTTTTAAACCTCATTCAACCGTAATACCTTAACAATCCTATTAAACCTTGATTTCAAGATCCTCGCTCTTCTTCAAATCCCTTCACGCCCTGTTACCTTCCTATCTCTCCAACCTGCTTACTCCCAACTCCACACCCTCTGCCTCCGCTCGGCTGGCTCCAGCCTCTTGCTTGTCCCTCGTGCTCTCCGTTCCACCATGGTTGGGTGCGCTTTCAGCCACGAAACTCAGGAACGCTCTTCCTCTATCCCTCTGCCTTGCTCCTCCCTTCCCCATCTCAGGGTCGTGCCTGAAGTCCTTCCTCTTCGACCGTGCCTACCGTCATTTCCCCACTCCCCCCGTCTCAGCACTGCTGTTAAGCGCTCTAAGATGCTACCTTGCACGAGGGGCACTGTGTAAATGCGAGTTGTTAACCCTTTATCCTCTTCAACTCTCAGGATTAATCCCACGTTAACTCATAGCTAAAGCCCGTTCATCCCAAAGGGAGCTCTATTACACTGCTCTACACTGCTTCACTATTATTATTATTGAAAAAGAGAAGGGAGTTTCTCTCTCTTGGCCAACAATCTCCCAAATAAAATTGTTCACTCACTCCATAGCTGTTTGTGGGATGGTGCTGTGTATAATTGTCTGCCGCGTTTCGCTCACAAAATACAGTCACTACATATTACAGTATACCCTGTGAAGTGTTTTGAGACGTCTCAATGACACAAGAAGGTGCTATATAAAATGCAAGGATTATTAATTTAATAATTATCATCCTTACACTTATGTAGCATCCTTCACATCTCGAGGATATCTCAAAAGCACTTCACAGGATTTATTGTACAATATAGTGACTGTGTTATGTAATAATAATAATAATCCTTGCATTTGATATAGTCTTATCACATCTTCGAGGATTCTCAAAGCGCTTCACAGAATATGCTGTAAAGTGAATTGACTGTATATTTGTGGGCGAAACGCAGCAGCTAATTGCGCACAGCAGTGTCCCACAAACAGTCATGGATTGAAAATGACCAATTTATTTTTGCTTTGGAGGGATTATTATTAGGCTCTGTGTGGAGTAAGGAAACTTGCCCAAGGTTTCGCCCTCTGCCTGAAATTGAACCCAGGTGTCTTGCTTGCAAGGCGAGTGCTCTAACCACTGAGCTACAGGACTCCCCCAAACCCTTCAGCTCCTTCTGTGTTTCCCCTGACCACCCAAATCTCATCACTTTGAGGTAGATGTCCATTGCTTCACGTTTCGCCCACAAAATATACAGTCACTACACTTTACAGTATATTCTGTGAAGCGCTTTGAGACGTCTCGAAGATGTGATAAGGCGCTATATCAAATGCAAGGATTATTATTATTATTATGATTATGCATTCCGAGATGGGAGCACTGCTTACCTCTGTGGAATCCAGGGTGATTTTGATCTCCTTCTCAGGATTCTGCTCCATCAGTGGTTGGGTGACCGACTGATCGGATGTGGGTGCGATGTGGTTCATGCTGTGAGTTATCATGGAGCCCAGGCTTGCCGTGGAGATGTTGTGCGGAAATGAGAAGTCCTTATCTTGTCTGGGGTGGCTGTAAAAGACAACAAGAGTCACCAGATCGCAAGAGAGTTGGGACAAACACAACAACAACAAATAACATTTACACAGCGTCCTTCACACTGGGATATTGTCTACGCCCTTTAGAATCTTAAAGACCGAGTTAAACGAGAAGCCAGGAAGCTTGGTCAGATGGACGGTTGGTCGGTTTCTCTCCCCGGCCTCACCTGTGTTTGAGCAGGAGTGCACGCAACACGTTGGCTCGATCCTCTGCCTTGATCTGGTCTGAGATGATCATCTGCTCCACCACCTGGTGGGAAATTCCTGGCAGAGTCTTCTGGTCCAGGTCTAGCAGCACGGCACCTACACCAAGGCAAGAGTTACACCAATAATAATAATCCTTGCATTTCATATAGCGCCTTGTCACATCTTCGAGACGTCTCAAAGGATACACTGTAAAGTGAACTGACTGTATGTTCTGTGGGCGAAATGCAGCAGCCAATTATGCACAGCAGTGCCCCATGAACAGTCGTGGATTGACTGACCAAATCATTATTATTATTATTTTTAAGGGATTATTATCCCTGGAAAGTGATCCGCCAATCGATTAACAACCGGGTTGCTACTTACTGCTAGCTAAACAGAGGCTTGTGAAGTGAGGAAACTTGCCCAATGTTTCGCCCTGCCCAGGAATTGAACACAGGTCCTCTTTCAAAACCGGTCTTAAAAACTTCTGTGTTTGACTGTGCCCTCGGCTATCTCCCTCCTGCCCTTCCTATCCCACCTGAGCTACCACTCCATCTTAGCCTGCTCCATGTCCACCGTTCTGCCCGCCCCGCCATTGGCATTCAGGCCTTCAGCTCTCTGACCCCACCCTCTGGAACTCCATCCCACAGTCCCTTCGCCTCACCTCCTCCCTTGCCATCTTCAAGGCCCGTCTCAAGACCTTTCTCTTCGACCCCGCCTTCGGCCACCCTCCTACGCCCACTCACCCTGCACTTCACCCGTCCTGATCCCAACTCCCAGCTTGGAGTCCTGTAGCTCAGTGGTTAGAGCACTCGCCTTGCAAGCGAGACACCTGGGTTCAATTCCAGGCGAAACCTTGGGCAAGTTTCCTTACTCCACACAGAGCCTAATAATAACCCCTCCAAAAAAAACAAAAAATAATAAATTGGTCATTTTCAATCCACGATTGTTTGTGGGACATTGCTGTGCGCAATTGGCTGCTGCTCTTCACCCACAAATATACAGTCAATTCACTTTGCAGCATATTCTGTGAAGGGCTTTGAGACGTCGAGAAGATGTGAAAAACGCTATATGAAATGCAAGGATTATTATTTATATTATAAATCCCTGACTGTCCAGAGCCTTGGGACATTCTCCCGATCTGAAAGGTGCTGTTTAAATGTAATTCATTGTTGTAAAAGTTTGGAGAAGTTTAATCCTATGTAAGCAGATATATAATAATCCTTGCATTTGATATAGCACCGTATCACTTCTTCAAAATGCCTCAAAGAGCTTCACAGAATATACAGTACTGTAAAGTGAATTGATTTATGTATTTTGAGGGTGAAACACGGCAGCCAATCGTGCACAGCAGTGTTCCACAAACAGTCTGGATTGATTGACCAAATTATTATTAGTTTTTTTGAAGGGATTATCACCCTAGAAAAGCGATCCGCCAATCAACTAACAACCGGTTCCTATTTACTGCTGGTAAACAGAGGAGTGTGGAGTAAGGAAGTTTGCTTAAGGTTTCGCCCTGCCTGGGAATCGAACCTGAGTCCTCTCAGTTGCGAGGCAAGTGCTCTAACCGCCGAGCTACAGGACTCCAAGGCAGTATAAGTGCCAAATTTTTGTTCATCTTCAGGAGGATGTTAAAGATCCAGGGACACTATTGGAAAAGGGAGTGAGTATGTTTCGTGTCCTGGCCACTAGCTGTGGGAAGGCAGACCTTGCTGTGAGCTATATGCCAGTAATAGTAGTAGTGGTAATTGCCACCTGTGCCCTGGGCTGGAGTGTTAGTGTGAAGAGGACAGATCCTGCTGCACAATCACCCAAAAGGCGCTTCATTTGAAGTGAAGAGTTCATGTTATAATCCAGAATTACCTGATAATGGTTCAGCCACATTGTCATGCGAGGAGCCTGCCCGAGGACCTCATTCACTAACAGGGACGTCTGCATTCCTCTGATCTTTATCTGGGTTTCACCCCCACCCCCAGTGCTCCGTTTCCGAGCTCCAGTATAATATCAAGTGCACTTTTACACATTGTGTTTTATCACTCTGCAGGTTTATACAGGCTCCACAGACTGCCTGGAAATAATAATAATCCTTGCATTTGATCACGTCTCTAAGACGTCTCAAAGCACTTCACAGAACATACTGTAAAGTGAATTAACTGTATGTTTTGTGGATGAAACGCAGCAGCCAATTGTACACAGCAGTGTACCACAAACATTCATGGATGAAGTGAACAATTATTTTTGAAGGGATTATTGGCTTCCGAATGTGATCCGCCAATTGACTAACAACTGGGTTCCTATTTACTGCTAAGTAAACAGAAGCGTGTGGAATAAGGAAACTTGACTAAAGTTTCACCCTGTCCAGGAATTGAACCCAGATCCCCTCACTTGCGAGATGAGTGCTCTAACCACTGAGCTACAGGACATCAAACAAAGACCTGCTTATGTGAGGACGGACTCCCTTGAGGTCATTGTGGAAGCATCACGGTGACTTCGAGCTGCTCATGGATACATTACAAGAGTAAAGTCTCAGCAGAGGTGATTGCGACCACTTCAGCCCCCGACTACACTGAGGTACCAAACTGGTGAGGCCGCCAGCTCACACCACACACACACACAGCACATGTCAACACTGCACCTCGGTGGCTCGAGGGGAAAAAACACATTCTGCGAACAACCAAAAGGGGCAGAAAAGTCCTTTAACAATCTCCACTACCAAAATAATCTCCAGAATGTTCGTCAGGGACAGGAGTGTGTTGGAATAGTTTCTGAAGAACACAGTCAATGTTGAGCTGTATCTTATTTGGAACCTACCTTGAGCGATGGTCTTCCTGAGCTCCAGCAGGCTGCGGAAGCTGAGGGAAGCCACGTGAGGCTTTCCCCAGCGATCAGTTTCCGCCTCCACATCCTCCTCAAATTTGATCCATCTCGCCGTCTCCTTCCACTGCATCTCGTGGCTCTTGTCCATGAATAACTCGTTCAGCTCCACAAACACCTGCGGGAGGGCCGAGGTAAAGCGACAATCACTACCCATCAGACCCTCCTCAACACCACAGCCCATTGCTCCCCTCAACACCACTACTTAATAATACTTACATTTGATACAGCACCTTATCACGTCTTCGAGACGTCTCAAAGCGCTTCACAGGATACACTGTAAAGTGATTTCACTGTACATTTGAGGGTGAAACGCGGCAGCCAATTGCGGACAGCAGTGTCACACAAACAGTGGTGGGTTGAGTAAGCAATTTTTTTTTGAGGTTTACTCCCGGAAAGCAACCTGCCAATTGACCTAACAATTTACTGCTAGGTAAACAGAGGCGGTGGAGTAAGGAAACTTGCCTAAGGTTTCGTTGTGCCCAGAATCGAACCCAGGTCTTTCACTTGAGAGGCGAGTGCTCTAACCACTGAGCTACAGGACTCCACAGCTTGCCTCCACTTCCTCCCTTGGCCGTCCGTTACTACCTCGATGTGGAAATATTATCCTGATCTGGGAAAGTCAGGATTCTATGGAATTCACGCTGGTCAAACAGCAGGAAAATCCACCCCTCAGCCTGGCTCTTCATTTAGACAGCTAATCCAGTGCAACGAAACACCAGGATTGATCTGCCTCCAATCTGCGTCTCATAGATTACATCAAATTTCAACCCTATAAATACTTAACATAAATCCAACTCCCATTTCAAACCATATATAAAAAAAATTATTAAACTATATAACTGCACAATCTATATATTTATTTTTATATTTCAAATATGTATACACAGTATTATATATTTCAAACCATATAAAAATTATTAAACATTTTGGGGGGGAGGGAGGGGTCAGCTAGATATCTGAAACCCATCATCTGCTTAAGAGTCTCCAAACCACGCTGAGATTTCCATACATCCCACCTACACATGGAAATCCCAGAGAGAGATTGTTGGAATGGAATGTTCTCTCTCTCTCTCTCCCTGGAGGGATTCATCCTACTTACCTAATTCCGGAATGTTTTAGGCGCAGGTTGGCAAGAGCCAAGGCTTGGGGGGGGGCCCCAGAGTGTGTGTTGGGGTAACTGCTAGAGTCTAACCAGCTAAAACCACACAGCTTGCCTTTGATATCACTGTCTGGCCAGCTTTCCCGCTGCTTGTCCAGGACCACTCTACCTGTTAGGGCTTTGGTTTGCAGGGTTAACAGGAGCTGAGTTTGATGAGTCCCCGCCCCCAGTGACTGGTCTGCCCTTCTAGGGCCTTAAACCATGTAACTGGACAATCCAGGCTGCTCACAGCCAGTGCTGGGAAACAGCCGCCCCAAAACTGCTTAACAATGAAGATAAATAAAGGCATCAGTAGCATTAATGTGATCTGGAGTTTAAAAGCAGAATTTCAGGTTACCTCATGGGTTTGGCGAGCTGGTTTCTTGGCCTTCACAACCTCCAACTGGTCCTTCCCGCTGCGCCCACATGGAATCTTGTTGCTTTTTCTCACCAAGTGCCTACGAACACCAGGGACATCCTCAAATCGATGACCTGTGCAGATAAGTAATATTATTAATAATACTTTCATTTCATTTAGCGCCTTATCATGTCTTCGAGATGTCTCAAAGCACTTCACAGAATACACTGTAAAGGGAATTGACTATATTTTTCTGGGTGAAACGCAGCAGCCAATTGCGCACAGCAGTGTCTCAAACAGTTGTGGATTGAGAGACATTATTTTTTAAAAGGGCTATTACCCCCGGAAAAGCGATCCTATGTAGTCCTGAGGAGCAGGTTTGAGGAAGAGGTAAACTGAGAAACAGAGCAAACGAGAGTAGAAGAATATCACATAGAGAGAAAAGTGGTATATAGTATATTGTAATAATAATCCTTGCATTTGATATAGCACTTTTCACGTGTTCTAGAAGTCTCAAAGCGCTTCACAGACTATACTGTAAAGTGAATTGATTGTAATGCAGAACATGTGAGAGAAAGCAAGATAGCCACAGAGTGAGAAATTGAACTTCTCAGATAGAGAACGTTAATGACAGAGAGAGAGAGAGAAAACAAGAAAATGAGAGAACAGCAAAGAAAAGTGATCCACCAATCAACTAACAAACGGGTTCCTACTTACAGCTAGGTAAACAGAGGCTTGTGGAGTAAGGAAACTTGCCCAACATTTCGCCCTGCCTGGGCATTGATCCTGCGTCCTCTCGCTTGCAAGGCCAGTGCTCTAACTAATACACTAGTGCAGTGCTGTATCTTAGTCTCTGGTGCAGCCACTGTAGTTTGGTACAGGTGGAGGGAGGGGAGACTGGGTGCCGGGAGACCCAGGGTCGGGGACTGGGGCCAGGAGGCGGGAGATTGAGGCTTGGCGGTGGGGGATCAGGGAGTAGGTAGCGGGTGACCCTTCCCTAACTGCCTTCAAACCTGCTTAAGCACAACAACAACAAAATTTGTAGAGCGCCTTTCACATCGGGAGTATGTCCCAAGGTGCTGGACAGTCAGAGTTTCGGACCCGAGCTAAGGGTCGGGATTAAGGAGGATGGAGGACGGGGGGGAAGCAGGGCGATCGAAAGCACGGTCAAAGAGGAGGGTCTTGAAGGAGGCAAGGGAGGGGGGCGAGGCAGAGGGACTGAGTTCTAGAGGGTGGGGGCAGAGTGGCAGAAGGCTCGCCCGGCATGGTGGGGGGAGCAAGACCATGGAGGGCTTTGAAGGTGAGGACCAGGATCTTGAACTGTATCCTCTGTGTGATGGGAAGCCAGTGGAGACGGCGATGATGGGGGTGATAGGGTCACGGAGCCTGGTGCGGGAGAGGACTCGGGCTGCAGAGTACTGGATGATCTGCAGTCTATGGAAGGAGGAGTTGGGGAGGCTATAGAAAGGATAGTTGACAGATATTATGTCAGCACAGCAGCGGTCCTGGAGTCAAGGGTGTAGGCGGAGAGGTAGAGTTGGGTGTCATCCGCATACATGTGGAAGTTCACCCCATGTCTGCAGATGATGTCACCCAAACGGAGCATATAGATATTGAGAAGGAGGGGACCAAGGACAGAGCCCTGAGGAACGCCCACATTTGTGGAGATGAAGTGGAGGTGGTGTGAGAGGTATGATCTGAACCAGTCAAGGACAGAGTCGTGAAGGTTGAGGTGAGAGGGGAGGTGGTGGGTGTGGATAGAATGGTTGACGGTGTTGAAAGCAGCAGAGAGGACGAGAGGCAGAGGAAGCCCTGGTCACATATGGACAGAATGTCATTTGTCACTGACCGGGGCTGTTTCTGTGCTGTGGGTAGCACGGAAATCCGATTGGAGGGATTTGTGAAGGGAGCGGCAGGTGAGGAAGGAGCGAAGCTGGGAATCAACAACTCATTCTAGGACCTAATTCATCGACCATGCCTTGGTCACCTCCGTCCTGCCCAGTTATCCCCATCATTGCTGTGCAACAACAACTTGTGTTTACAGGGTGCAGCATTTCAGAGCGCTTGCCAGTGGCAGAGCACAACTCCGAGTCGGGGGGAGGGGGAGTTGACCGTAGGCATGGTCGAAGAGGAAGATCTTCAGGTGTGACATAAAGATGGGGAAGGACACAGAGCAAGAGAGCAAGATGGAGAGATAGAGGGAGAGTGTTCCAGAGTTTTGGGGTGTAGTGGCTGATGGTGGAATGGAGGCCACGAGGGACAAGCAGGAAGTTGGAGTCAGCTGAGCCGAGGCAACAGGTAGTGGATAGGGGAGTAAGCTGGTTGAAATGGCCAGAGCGAAATGGCCCAGAATGAGAGACAGAAAGTTAGGAAATGCTGTGCCAATTAGCAGGGCAGTGGTCACCTGGATTTTCAGTAGACATCAGGGTCCGCAGGCGAGGAAGTCGTAAGGTAGAGACTCAGAGACGACAGACTCACAGGTCAGCCAAACCCAGGAGTGGGCCGGTGGTCAGTCAGCCCAGGAGCAAGTCTGCACTGACACCAACCAAGCCTTTTGTAGCTCAGTATTTACTACATTAAGGACAGTGAATGATAAAAGAACCCACAGGTGTTGCAAAGCCATCAAAAAGTTAACTCTTTGAGAACTTCTCAACTCTCCAATCCCCAACTCTTCCCCTACCTTTTATACACAGTGCAATAGGGTTTGGGGCTGAATTCCACGCAGGGTTAATGAAGGTGTCAGTCAGGTTAGACTGGTTACCAAACCAGAGAGAACGGGTAATGAGTGGGGGGGAACAGGGAGAACTACACAGACAGACACAATAAGGAAAGAGCGAAGGAAATAGAATGAGAGAAAGAAACAATAATAATCCTCACATTTGATATAGCGCCTTATTAAATCTTCGAAACGTCTGAAATTGCTTCACAGAATATACTGTAAAATCAATTGACTGTATATTTTGTGGGTGAAATGTGGCAGCAGTGTCCCACAAAGAATCATGGATTGAGTGACCAAATTATTATTTTTTTTGAAGAGATTATTATCCCTGGAAAGCGATCCGCAAATCGATGAACAACAGGGTTCCTACTACTGCTAGGTAAACAGAGGCGTGTGGAGTGAGGAAACTTGCCTAAGGTCTTGCTCCACCCAGGAATCAAACCTCTCACTTGCGTGGCAATCGTGCTAACTAATACACTACAGGACGCACCGTATACTTTTGCAAGTGATCAATCCTGCACCAAGCATCATAAACCATGCAATATAAAGCATACTTACATTTATATAGCGCCATCATTCTACCCGGCAAGCTTGTCTAAGGTTGTGCCCTGCCCGGGAATCAAACCTGGGTCCTCTCGCTTGCGAGGTGAACTCTCTTTTCACTACACTCCATGTGCACTTACTTTTCATGTCATCCAGGTCAGCCACTGCCAGCATCTCAGCTTCCAGCTCGTCTGTGGGTACCTGCTGGTACTTTGCCTCCTGTATCAATGTCATGCTGCCGATCCTCCGTCTCTCCTTCAGATCATAGCTGCTGCGATGTGCCAGTGGTGTCTTGTACAGCGCCCGGCTTTCCCCCACCTCCACAATCACATCAGCTTCCTCGTCCCTGCGGGAAGAGTCACACCGTATGGCACTGAGTCGCACACAGCCTTGGTACCTTCCATGGCCTTGCTCCTCCCTACCTCTATGACCTGGTAATCCCTTAATGACCTGTCCGTTTGCTCCCTCCGGCCTGCCCCCATTCCCGCGCCCGGCCCACGCCACCATTGGAAGTCGGGCTTTCAGCTTCTGTGCCTTTGAAACCCCATCCCACAGTCCCTTCACCTCGCTCCCTCCCTTGTCTCCGTCAAAGCTTGTCTCAAGACTCTCTGCTTCGACTGCGCCTTCGGTCATTCTCCTAACCCCACTCTCCCTGACCTCAACCCATCCTGATCCCAACCCCCAGCTCAGGGCCAAATTGTTGACTGTCCAGTACCCTGGGACGTCCTCCCGACGTGAAACAACAAATTGTTGTTAATTTGTTGTTGTACACCGCGGTGGCCAGCAAATGTCAAAGTAAACAGTATTAAGAACTCACATTTTCACATCAAAATGTCTCACAGAGCTGTGCAGAAATTACTGCCAAACAGACTGCTTTTCAAATAAACAGCGTCCGAGTCAATAACAACAACAAATTCAATTTACACATCACCTTACATGTTCGAAGGACGTCCCAGGATGCTGGACAGTTAAGGGGTTTGCATCCCAGTTGCGATTTTGAAGGGCAAGGGTGGGGGTAGGAGTGTGGCTGAGAGGAAGGTCTTAAGACTCTCTTGAAGGAGGTAGGGGAGGGATTCAGGGATAGAGTTCCAGAAGATGTGAGCTCAGCCAAGAGGAGACATCAGTCTATCCTGCAAACAATTCCTTCCACATTTCTATTTTCACAACAATAACTTGCATTTATATAGGATAGAGTCTCGGGCGGGCTGGAATTTCATCATCTAAGAATTCTTTTGATTTTCAAGCGCCTCACAGTGATACTCACCCCACCATGTCAGGGTCCTTCTGTCTGATAAAGCTATGGATCCCACTCGGCCCAGGCACCTCCACTGATGTGATCCCCATGGCTGGGTGCTTGGGGCTGTGGTCGGTAGATTTCAACTGGGCTGAGTCACTCTCCGCATCTTCATCAGAGACGAAGAACTACAACCAGGCAGATGGACAAACTGGGTCACTGATGAGTGCGCTAATTTCTTGGAGATGGGTGAACATGGTGAAATCACTTGACTCATAGAAGCTTACAGCACAGAAGGAGGCCATTCGGGCCATCATGCCTATATACCAGCTCTTTGAAAGAGCTACCAACTAGTCCCACTCTCCCGCTCTCATCCCATAGCCCTGCAAATTCTTCCTTTTTAAGTAGCTATCCAATTTCCTTTTGAAAGCTATTATCGAATAGCTGAGTCCTCAGGAACTAGACTAGAGATCGGCACAGAGGATGGGCTTGATTCTAACATACTGTTGCCAAAAATATCTTGGAGCCAGTTCAGTTCCAAGGAAACCCCGCTTAACTACAAGAAGGTAATTTGACATCTATGTACATAAATAAATCAATGATTTGACCGTATTGATGGGTGACGCATGAGGCTGAAACAGGGCTGAAAACTCCTGGAGAGACAACCTTAATAACCTTGTTTAGTGGTGATCATCCTCAAGTGCCAAAGGGGAAGGGGACACTGGCCCAACACAATTAACAGCCCCCCCCACCCAGTCTACCCTCCCTGCGCAAAGCTCTACTGAGGCGTCCTTCTGATATAGCACCTTATCGCGTCTAGAAGACGTGAAAAGCACTATACCAAACGCAATGATAATTATTATTATTTTTGACCACGTCTTCAGTCCCCTCCTACCCTCAACATGTCTCAAAGCGCTTCACAGAATATACAGTAAATTGACTGTATGTTTTGTGGGCAAAATATGGCAGCTAATTGCGCACAAGACTGTCCACAAACAGTCGTGGATTGAGTGACAAAATTATTATTGTTTTTTTTGAGGGATTATTATCCCCGGAAAAGTGATCCGCCGATCGACTAACAAGCTACTTACTCCTCGGTAAACAGAGAAATGTGGAGTAAGGAAACTTGCCAAACATTTTGCCCTGACGGAAATGGAACGCAGGCCCTCTCACCACTAAGCTACAGGCCTCCTCATAATTATAACTGAGGAGGTCACAGGACTTTGTGGACATCCTGTAGTTAGTGTAACAAAAACTCGGCTACCCTCCTCTAGTTTTTCCCCACCGACAAGCCTGATTCTGATGTAATCGAAGGTCCTCACCTCAACGGCCAAGTCGAGCTCGGAGTTGGTGGAGTCTGGGGTCTGTCCCACCTCTGCCTCCTGTGCCCCGTCGCACTGCTCCTCCTCCTCCTCACCTTCGTCGATGGTGGGAGCCCCAGACGAGGACGAGGCTCGCTTCTTGCATTTCTTTTTGACGGGCTTGTTCCTGCGAGCGCCGGATGGCATGTGTGTGGAGAGAGGGTGGTGGGTGTGATGGGATGACTGCCGATGGTCTTAGTGGAGAAAGAAGCACAGGCTCTGGGTTACACGCAGAGAAACAGGAGCAGGTTCCATCTGTTTCACATTAGAAATTGGGGCCCACAGAATATATCATCATAATCCTTGCATTTGATGTAGCGTCTTATCACATTGTTCAGACAATTCACAGAGACGGGATAAGGTGCTATATCAAATCAGGGATTATTATATTATTCTTAATATTCAGTGAATGAGCATGCCTTGATTTCTAATGTGAAACAGACGGATATATAAAATCGATTATATTTTGTGGGTGAATCAAGCAGCCAGTTTCGCACAGCAGTGTTCTGCCAACAGTTTTGGATAGAGTGACCAAATTAGTATGTTTATTCATTTATTTATTCATTTATTTATTATTCTTTTGAAGGGATTATTACGCCCGGAAAAGCAATCTGTCAATCACTAATAACCGGGTTCCTACTTACTGCCAGGTAAACAGAAGCGTGTGGAGTAAGGAAACTTGTCTAAGGTTTCACTCCACCTGGGAATTGAACCCAGATCCTCTTGCTTGTGAGGTGAGCACTCTAACCAATACTCTACAGGACTCCACTCTATATGGGCTGAAAACTGGCCACCGTTGGTGGAATAGAGGAATGAGAACCCAGCAGTAGACCAGAGTGGAAGAAGGAGTACAAGAGGGAGAATACAGCTGGAGGAGACTGCAGAGGTGGGGAGGGGTTTGAATCTTGAAGTTTGAGGCACTGGGAGTGAGTGCAGTCTGGTGCGGCGGGGAATTAGCAGAATAACATCAAGGCTGTAGGTAGCAGTAAATGGCTCACATTCAAAATCTGCCTCATTGTAGATCCGCCGGACTTCATCCACAGCGCGAGAGTGTGTATCGTGCAGCAGATCATCAAATCTCTCCACACCCAGGGTCTTGTTCAAGTCGCCATCATCCTCCTCAACCCTCGGCGGGTGTGGGGCAGCCACCTCCTGCTCAGGCTGAAGGGAACAATAATCACAACATAAGAATTGTTAGGAGAAAGATCCAGGTCCATCCAGTTCACCTTCCAACATTCTCAGAAGCATAAGCCATTCAGCCAATCGAGTCTGTTCCACCAGTTTATTAGATCATGGCAGATCTTTTAATCCCATTTCTCTGACTTTTCACCATAATAAAAATAATCCTTGCATTTGATATAGCGCCTTACCACGTCATTGAGACATCAAAACAATATGCTGTAAATTGTATTTTGTGGGCGAAACAAGACAGCCAGTTTGCGTACCGTATTGTCCCACAAACAGCCATGGAGTGAGTGACCATTTTTTTGGGGAAGATAGTTGGCCAACCTCCCTTCACTTTTCAAATAGCGCCATGAGATCTTAACTACCACCTGAACAGACAGACGGGAACTTGGTTTAACGACTAATTCGCCAATTGACTAACAGCCAGGTCCCTAGTTACTGGTCAGTAAACAGAGGCGTGTGGTGTAAGGAAACTTGCCCAACGTTTCACTCTGCCGGCCGGGAATCGAACCCAGGTCCTCTCATTCTCACTTGCTAATCACTAAGCTACAGGACTCTAACTCTGAATTTCTGTACTGAATCGCTTAATGAACCATTGAAGGTACTTCACTGTCCTTCAAACGAGATGTTGAAGTGCCCTCTGCCCGTCCAGATGGCTCATTACCTCACCCCTCACGCTGCTGAAACCCTGGTCCACGCCTTTGTCACCTCAAGGCTGGACTATGGGAACTCTCTCCTCGTCGGCCTTCCCGCCACCTCCCTCCACAAGCTGCAGGTCATTCAGAACTCTGCAGCTCGTGTAGTGTCCCGCACGAGGCTTCTGGACCACATCACTCCCACCCTCGCTCGCCTCCACTGGCTCCCCATCCCCCAGAGGATTGATTTCAAGATCCTCATCCTCACCTACAAGGCCATTCACGGCCTCGCTCCCTCCTACCTCTCCAACCTACTATCCCCCTACCTACCTGCCCGTACCCTCCGTTGTCTGCTCCACGTCCCCCGCCCCAATCACCCTACCATCGGTGGTCGGGCCTTCAGCCTCTCAGCCCCGAGGCTCTGGAACTCTATCCCCCAGTGCCTTCGCCGCTTCCTCCCTCTCCTCCTTCAAGGCCGGTCTCAAAACCTTTCTCTTTGACCGAGCCTTCAGCTCCCCTCTCGACTCTCTTCCCCCTTCTCGCTCCCTCCCATCCCTCCCCTCACCCTGACCATTTCCCCCCCCTCGCTCCCTCCCCTCCCCTGACCATTTCCCCCAATGCTCGGGTCATGACCCAACTGTGCAGCGCCTTGGGACGTCCTCCTGACGTGAAAGGCGCTTTATAAATGGAATCTTGTTGTTGTTGTTGTTGTTACAGATCCAAGTGAACAACAACAACAACAACAAGATTCCATTTATAAAGCGCCTTTCACGTCAGGAGGACGTCCCAAGGCGCTGGCAGGCAGCTGCTGGCAAAGAGATGGGAGTTTCTCCCAGTTTCCCGGCCAACAAGGCTCCCGATTGATTGGTTATTCACCCCACGATTGTTTATGGAACCCTGATGTTGGCAAAATGTTGACCTCAGTTTAACATCTCATCCGAAGGACAACACCTCCAACAATGCAGCACATCCACAGTACTACATCTGAGCCTCCGCCAAGACTGTGAGCTCAGATTCCCAAACATCAGGCCTCAACCCACAGTCACAAGGTGAGAGAGCTACCGTCCGAGCCAGGCTAACACCTTTATTTGTGAAATGTTTCGAGATGTCCAACCTCGCCTGGCTCCACTCCCCCAGCAGATCAGCTTGACGTTAAATGAGGTTCCATCTAGGAACAGGAGGAGGCTATTCAGTCCCTGGAGTCTGTTCCGTCATTCTTTTAGAGCTATTCTATCAAAGCTGATCTGTACCTCAACTCTAATTACTCGCCTTTGTCCCATTTTGGTGCCTGTTCAGGTGGATGTTAATGATCCAATGACTGTTCAGAAAATAATATTTCTCCTGCTGTCCTGGCCAATAATTCCCCAGATAAAATTGGGTATTCACTTCATGCCTGTTTGCAGGATATTGACGTACTCAGATTAGCTTCCTTGTTCACCCCTTAAAATACGCTGTCACTACACTTTACAGGTAAAATCCTATGAAGCCCTTTGATTTAACCTCTTGATTGAAAGGCACTATATAGAAGTGCACAAAGCACTCTGCGTGAGGTAGGGGTGTTATATAAATGCTTGTTGTTGTTGAAATGCTGTACTCTGTCCAGCGCTTTGGGACGTCCTCCCGACGTGAAAGGCGCTATACAAATGTAATCTTGTTGTTGTATCCCCTGTCACCTCCTGTATCAGCTGCAGGTTTCTGTGGGATCAAGGAGTGGATCGCCCACTTGAAATGCTCATCCCGTTGTCGAACTGAAACCCTGACAAATTTCTCCCAGCTCGTTTGCACAAGGCTGTGATGAGACATCCTCAGACAGTGTGGAATTTGAGACCAATTGTCTCACCAGAGCCTTGGGTGGGGAGTCCCAAATGTTTATCAAACAGCCTTAACCCCTCCCACCTGTCGTAAAAGGCCTCAGAATATAAGCAAATGGACAAATTACAGAAAAGCCACTGGGCTGAACTGAAGAGCTTGTTCTGATGTACAGAACTTCAGGGATAATAATAATGATCCTTGCATTTGATACAGCGCCTTATCATGTTGTTAAGATGTCTCAAAGAGCTTCACAGAATATACTGTAAAGTGGAATGACTGTATTTTGTGGGCGAAATATGGCAGCCAATTACGCACAGCAGTGTCCCGCAAACAATAGTGAAATGTGCAACCAAATTTTTTTTCCCCAGGCATTATTACCACAGAAAGCGTCCCGCCAATTGACTAACAACTGGGTTCCTACTTTCTGTTAGGTAAATAGAGGCGTGTGGAGCAAGAAAACTTGCCTAAGGGATGCAACTAGAATGCAAGACTTCACGTGGGAAGAGACAAGCTGAGACTATGAATGACTCAAGGGCATTTGGTCCAGTCAGCTCTCACAGAAACACCACAAATCATCTTGCACTAAAGACAGCCTTTCACGCTGATGATGTTCTTTAAGTTCTTTACACAGATGATATGGAACACAATAATAATAATAATGCTTGCATTTGATATAGCACCTTATCAAGCCATTGAGGTATCAAAGCGTTTCACAGATTATACTGTAAACAACAACAACAAAATTACATTTACAGAGCACCTTTCATGTCGGGAGGACGTGCCAAGGCGCTGTAAATTGACAGTCTATTTTGCGGGCGAAACATTGGCAGCCAATTGCGAACAGTAGTGTCCCACAAACAGTCGTGGGCTGAGAGAACAATTTATTACCCCCAGAAAGAGATCTGCCAATCGACTAATAACTGGGTTCCTATTTACTGCTGGTAAAACAAGAGGCGTGCAGAGTAAGGAAACTTGCCTAAGGTTTCTCCCTGGGAATTGAACCCATGGCCCTCGCTTGAGATGTGAGCGCACTAAAACTGCGCTAAAGGACTCCATTGTCCTGAAATAGACAGCGCCTTGAGACGTCCTCCCGGCGTGAAAGGCGCCACACAAATGTAATTTTGTATTGTAATTACAGCATAAAAGCGGGCAAGTTTATCGCCCATCATGTGGAGTCCTGTAGCTCAGTGGTTAGAGACTCGCCTTGCAAGCGAGACACCTGGGTTCAATTCCCGGCAGGTCAGGGCGAAACCTTGGACAAGTTTCCTTACTCCACACAGAGCCTAATAATAATCCCTCCAAAACAAAACAATAAATTGATCATTTACAATCCACGACTGTTTGTGGGACACTGCTGTGCGCAATTGGCTGCTGCATTTCGCCCACAAATATACGGTAAATTCACTATACAGTCTATTCTGTGAGGTGCTTTGAGATGTCGAGAAGACGTGAAAAGCGCTCTATCAAATGCAAGGATTATTATTATATATATTATTATTATCATGCCCCTCACTGCCTTTTCAAAATCAGCCTCTTATTAGTCCCAACAACAACTTGCATTTATATCGCGTCCCTCACCTAGGGTAGCATCCCAGAGCACTTGAGTGCTAGTAGTCCACTTTCCAGCTGTTGTCCATGTCTTTTCATGTCTCAAGCAGAGCTGGGATTTCCAGCGGAACACCAGAGACATTCACTGTCTATGAGTTAGCCAAAGCCAGCAGCCATGGAGGCTGCTGCAGACGGAGTCGGGGGTAAGAAAGAAGTGGAAGACCTATGGAGTTCCTTCAAGGAGGTGATCGTGAAGGCAATGAAACAATGTGTACCCATGCAAAACAAAGGTACCAAGCTTAAAGGCACTCCTGACTGGTTACAAAGCAGCTCAAAGAGGAAAAAGTCATTCAAGGCCACGAAGGAAAATGGCACAGAATTAAGTTGTATTTGATACCAGAAGGCTTGCCAGGACTGTAAAAAAGGCATCAGAACGGCAAAGAAAAATTTTGAATTGAACATGGCAAACAATGTGAAGGATAATAACAAAACGTTTTTCAGTTACATCAAGAGAAAAAGAAAGCAAGTAATAGAGTAGGGCCACTGAAGGTGTGTTCGGGAGAGGACATGACAAATAATGTTGCACAGGCTGCAATAGTACAAAATAAGTTTTTTGCATCAGCCTTTACTGAGGAGGAGGTGGGTAACCTATTTGGAAAGAGAACTAGAAAAGGATGTCGCAGAGGAAAATTGTGACACTATTCATATACCAGAGTGGTGGCTAAACAGCTGAGCAAACTTAAGGTAAATAAATCTCAGGGGCCGGATAGACTGCATCCGAGGATCCTTAAGGAACTTGCTGTTTTTAAGATTCTAAAGGGGAAAGACAATTTAGATCATGACAGGCTGCTTCAGCTTGTCCAGAATAAACAACAACAACTTGGATTTATATAACGCCCTCCACGCCGGACGGTGTCTCACAAGGCTTCACAGTAACGGATCCCGGGGCCGAGCCGGAGGGAGGGGGAGGAAGGTGACCAA